CTTATAAACGTGCTTTTTCATATAGAAAAAAAGAAGACCTTCGTCTTCTTGAAGGCTTCGATGCTTTTTTGTGTTGTTATATTTTAAGGTTACTTTATTCCACATAAAAATCACACGCTTCTGTAATGTTCTTAATACTTCTTTACTAAGCTCCGCACAGCTGCACTCCTAAAAATTTAACTCGTCTCTCTTATATTAGGTGTACTCAGTTATTCCTTTCAATCTTTCCACACTTAAGTCCACTGTACTTCATACTACTGTACATTACTGTACTGTGCTCTATTCTACGACTCTACCACTTCTACTCTTCTCTTCCTTCCTCCTCACTTCTTCTCTCTTAGCCTGTTCCAGACTCTCATCAGCGAAGACGAGCGAAAAAGCGAATACGCGAAAAGTGGCGCGCGCGTTAACTTGCAGGCAAGCGGGCGTAATCTGCAGACGTCTACCTAGTAACCGCAACCGCAGCGGCCCGCATGCTTCAACACAGCGGTCCAAGGTCTTCGCATGTTCACAGGTTGTAATTACTACGTGAAGTGCTGTCAGAAATGAGTTATACACAGTCTCACATGCAAGTGAGTCGAGGTGTTTTGCAACCGTAATCAACAAGATACCCGTACTTGAATAAGTTTCGCGTTCGAAAATTGTCGAGTTTGCGTTTTCCCTACTTTTATTCCTTCTACAGATAACCATGTACGTTTCAATTCACTTTCGCTTATTTTTCAAGACAGGAGCTGTTTTTCATGTTTTCCTATTAAATTTTTGCGCAGGAAAATGGCGCGCGGCCTGCCAGAATTAATCCCCTCGCGCGCACCCGACGTTTGACCGCAGTGTTGCCTGCTTCCCGCTTTTCCCACACCCACTATTTCACGCATCTCCACTTACTAAAAGCCTAAGGCAGGCTAATTATCTCCACTCCCTGTCTTCAATCAGCCAACAGTAGCTGCCATAGTAACATGACTGACATCAGCCACCAACACATTAGCTTTCCAGGCGCTGCAGATATAGGGGGACGAGTTAAATAATCTCCCAAAGACTCTGATTCATTATCTTTCTCGTGATCAGGAGACCTGCCTAAACAAAAAGGTACTTCTTGTGAATTTTGGATAGCAAGTGTTATACTGGACAAACTACATAGGATATGCGAGGAGAGACGAGGAATGGTGGGAAGCGGAAGAGTGGGAATTAAGTGAATGGGTAAAGACACTCCTCAGAGTTTTCTCTCCAAGTGTTCCTACCATCGGTCTGGAAGGCAAGAAAATAAGTTTGTCATAACTTTGTCCAGAAACAAAAATGACCACTGAAATGAGATCACTGAAACTTCCAATTTCTTGTGATATTGAAAATACTAACATTGGAGGAAGTGGAAAACACTCACGAATCAATGGATCTTTAAAGGATTGTAAGCAGCGTATTTCCTCGAATGAGCGCCCACTCCTTAGCCCATAAATTGAAGTAACCGTTCCCCCCTTCTTCACTTTCTTAAATAGTGGTGATGCAAGGAAAACCTGTCTCTATCGCCACTTTATTTATAACTTTTTGAGCTTCAGTTCCCGAGTTTATTTTCCGTTCCACATATACCCGTCTTCGTGCGCTCGTAGAATTCCTCTATGTGTTTCACCTGTACTGTTGATTTTTTTTGTCTTATCAGTGCGCTGTTGATTTTTTTTGTCTTATCAGTGCGCTAACTTAAAAAGTGCCCCCTCGGGAAAGCGACCTCCTACCAATAAGCGCCCCTACCCCCATCACCCTTTTGGCCGAAATTAAATGACCGCCCGGGCGTTTGTTCGAGGAAATACGGAATTCACTTTTCCCAAATAAGGGGGAGGGGGGGCGTACCCCCGCCAGTGCGAAGTGTCATATCACGCCGGCTTTATCCCACGTGGTGAAACGACAATTTTGCCGGCTGGTTTTACGAATCTATTTAACCAATTCAAAACACGGACATTGCCTGAAAAACATTGGGCAAGCAGAGGAGTTCTGACTCTGATAATTAACTAGTCACACAAAAGTCAACCAAAAATACAATGGAAAGCAAAAAATTAACTCTCACCTTTTTCATCGACGTCTTGGTAATCATAACCGAACTCGAATGATTTCTTGAACATCTGTTGGTGAGTGTAAACCGGAAACAACGGCACAATGACGTCATCTCTGTTGTGACCAATGGGTGCATCGTTAGTGGATAGCACATTCGCACTCTTATTAAACTTCCGCAACCATTTTTCATAGATACGATCCACAAACGCGTGATGAAGAGCAAAGATCGGGTCGTTTGATGCCGAAGGTACGTCCGCCATTTCTCCTCCAAGAACTATGTGGACCCGGTTGTGCAAGTCGTGGACGTCAAAATGGTGACGACCAGTTTCGGTGCTGGCATAACCCTCTAGGATGTTTCTAAAACTGCAGCTGGAACTTTTGTTGTAGGGTGGGAGGTCAAAGGTTTCAAAACGGAGCGCGAAGTTAACTTCTGTTTTTGTTGGAAATGTCATAGTATATCCTTTTTCCTTCTTTTTCTTCTCCTTCTCATCATCTGTGTTCCGTTTCAATCCAGCTCTTGTATCGGCAGGGTTACACGGCCTTGTTAGGTCATGGGTTTGTTCGCTGGTGCAAAGGACGTTCCAGTCATTCAAGTATTTGCCCCTCACAATGCCAGTAACTTGGTCCGTTACGCCAAGGAGCTCTTCAGAGCAAATTGCGGGGTCGCATTGAGTGGGATTCCCAGTCCAGTCCCAGAAAGGAAGGGCAAATTCTTCATCGTTTCCAACTTCCTGCAAGGTTCTCTCCCATGCCAACAAGTACAACCGATGCCATGAGAGAAATCCCTGACCATCGTGTGCAAAGTCAATATCAGATTCAGTCTTATTATGCGGTAAAATGGTGTCACGTGCAGCATAGTAATGCATCCACGTGAACAGGTCATAGCTAGTGACATCAGAAAAGAAGTGCGATGGGTCCCCACCGTGCATAACGGTTCTGTATATCTCCTCGTAAGAAGTAGACGTAACCACGAAGTCACTTCGATATTCCTTGGATTTTTTGACGTATCTCATGTATCGTTCTTTCTCCCAGGCTGTCAG